GGGGGGGGCTGCCCTCCGGGCCGCCTGCAGGGAGCAGGGAGGAGCTGGGCTGGCCCCAGGAGCTGCTATCACTCCGGGTGCTGACCCCCAACCAGCTCCAGCCCCAGGGCCCCCGCGGGCTCCGCAGGCAGCACCGTGCCGTGGATTGTCCTTCTAAAGCTCCCCTGACGTCTCCTGGGCTCCTTCCCTGGCTGCAGAGCAGCCGACGGCCCCGGTGATTGTAGGAGACTCTCCTGGTTCCCCGGGCCCTCCTGCTGCCCAGCCTGCGCCGTGCTCTGCCTCACTGTGTGTGTGTCATAGCTTCTGGCCTGAACAGATTTTTTGTCACTTTCTGGGCGTGTCTCCTCTATCCCCTGCCACCACGGCCACCCCTTATGCGCCCTGTTCCTTCTCTGGAGTAGCCTGCACCCGCCCCGGGTGGGAGCCCACCTAGGGCAGTGACGGTTAGGCCAAGGCCAGGGGCAGGGACTTGAGTCTTTAGTCTTTAGTCTTTAGCTACATCTGGTCTCTAGGGAACTTTCCGAATAGGACCTATTTTTCTAGATAATCCAGGAACCTAAGCCTTCCCCTCCCCCCACTGTCCCAGCATCCAGGCCCTGTCTCCTCCCGTCGCTGGTCCATCCACTACTTCTAGACCAGCACTCGCCGCTCTGGGCAGTGGCAGAAGGAGACAGGCTGGTGCCAACCCAGGCACACACCCAAGCCTAGGCCAACCCTGGGAGACTCATTTTCATCCTTATAAGTGATTTCTATGGAACCCTCCTCTGGGCATCTCCCAGTTTGTCCCTCAGGGGGCCCTGGTCCTGGGGCTGGTGGGGCCTGGCTTCCCTACTGGGGCGTGACCTGTTCTTGCAGGAGGGTACAGAGCATTGGGACATTTTATCCGAAAAGTAATTCAGATGTTGCATCCTGCTCCCTAATGTGGCCAGCTTGTTTTAATAGTAAAATATTGGTTTTGTCATTTACTGTGGGGTAAATTGATACTTTAGGTTGAGTCACCAGCACCATTCTGAAGTCTCACGTGGCCCCACCCACACCCACCCAGCCCGCAGCAGTGGAGGGTCGGTGTGGCAGTCTGAGAAGTGTGACAGTCCCCCATCTCACCGTGCAAATTCAGAGGCCACCAATCACCCCCTATTCTATACAGAGTCCCCTGGTGTCATGTAAGCAATCCTGTAGCCCCGGTGGAAAGGCCACTAGACCGGGGGAACCAGAAAACCTGAATTCTGTGTGACATTGGTGCTAACAGACCATGTGACTTGACCCACTGCTTCCCCTCTCTGGGCCTCGGTGACCTGGTGTGGCAGAGAAGCCATGTCCCCTTCACGGGGCGGGACACTGCCTCCCAGTTCACACACCAGGACGCAGGTGGTGGGAATTCCAGATTGGGGGGGGATGGTGAGAAGCAAAGGATAGGGTGGTCGGACCCCTCCAATCGCACAGTGGGTTACACCCCCCACACCAACCCCAGTGTGATGAGCAGGCCCCTGATCCTGAGAAAGGGACAGCATCTGACAGGGAGCTCTGCTCCCACTGCCAGGGGACTGCCGCTGGCACCTTCTAAGAGCCTCCTCCAGGGGCCACAGCTGTGCATGTGAGGCCCACCCTTCCAGTGAGGAGTGGGGTGGGGAAGGAGCAGGGTGCACTCTGAGCAGCCCCCAACCCTGACTGCCTTCTGTTTCAGGGGGGAGAGCAGAAGAGAGGGAGAAGCAGATTTCACGGAGCCCCCACACCCGTCCACACGCTGGCCCTCTTTCTTTGCAGCGTGCAGACGGGGTCCAGCCCCACTGCTCCGAGGCTGCAGTGCCTCCCCCACACCACTGTGGGTGCTCAGTGGAGGGGGCCTGCAAGCTAAATCCCGATGGCCCTGAACCTCAGCACATGAAGAAAGACGCATTGTCTAGCTCTCAACCCGCCCAGCCACAGAAGTGGCTGAAATCCTGGTATAGCTGTGGTTTTGTTTAGCAAACAAGGAACATGCAAAACAGCTCGCACGAACGTGTGTGTGTGTGTGTGTGTGTGTGACCCCAGCACCCACCCTTGCACTAATCAGACCTAGGAGGTGCGTGCCCCTTACCCCACGGTGTGTGTGTGGGTGTCAGGAACCCATTCCAGGCCGGGCCCCACTGTGTAGCTTTGGGCAAGTCCCTTCCCCTGTCGGGGTTCACCACCTCCATGGACAGGAGGAGGGAGTGGTGGTCTCCAGGCTTTCTTGGCTCTGGTGTGCTGGCTGCTAGAGGCCTTCATCCTCTGACTTCAAGAGCCAGGCCTGGGGGACATGAACTGGCAGCCTGCTGAGGAGGCCAGCCCACCTTCCCATGCAAATCTTGAACCCCACCCCACCATGCGTCTGCAGTCGGACAGGTTTGTTCAGGGGAATTCTGGCTAAGGTAAATAGGAAGGGCCTCTAGAATGAAATATGCCAGGGTCCTGCCCAGCCAAACCCAGAGCCTGGGAGTCCCCAGTCCCTAACGGCCTTGGAACCCCGTATGGTCACGAGGACTAGAGGAAACACCTGCAAATGTCATTGGGAGGAAAGGTAAACTGGAGACCTGAAGTCGAAGGCTTGGAATTAGATATCCTGATCCCAGCTCTGCACTCACCCGCTGTGTGACCTTGGGCAAGTTGGGCGACCTCTCTGAGCCTCCACTGCCCCCTCTGTAAAATGGGATAGTGACACCTCCTTGCATAGGTTAGAGGCAGTGTGTGGAAACCCTGGGCCCAGCTCGGTACCTGGAAGTGACTCACTTAGAGGTGTCCACTGCTGCGGGCCAGGCCTGGGCTTGGTACTGAGCGCGTGGTCCTGCGCTGTAAGCGAGGAGCCCTGGGAGCCAGGTGTTCAGAGGCGGGAGAACCTCGGGCTGGAATGACCACGGGAGGAGGCATTCGGGGGGGCCTTTTCCCCACCACGTGCTGGGCCCTGCTCACTGCTGTGCACACCTCTCTCAGGGAGTCCTCCAGGAATGGATGGTTATGCTCCCGATTCTGCAGAGGAGGCACTTGACCCGCGTCACACAGCTAGTGAGGGGGAGGGGCGGCACCGGCCTCAGTCACATCTGTCAAGCCTCTTTTGCCATCTGAACTGACATTCACCAGTTCCAGGACCAGGGCGTGGATGTCACCTCTGGGGGCCGTTACACAGCCCACCACAGCGATCAGGTGGCCCTCGCATGGGAAGCTTATCCCAGATCAGCCGGGTGGACCCCAGGTGATCACAAGGGGGAGGCAAGAAGGTGAAGGTGGAGTGAGGCGGGAGGGGAAGCAGAGAGCAGCTGGATGGGCTCTGAGGGTGGAGGCAGCGGCCTCCCGAAGTCAGAGGAAAACATTTCCCCCGGAGCCTCCAGAGGGAGTGCACCCTGCTGACACCTAGAGTGTAGCCCGGGGCCCCTGTTGGGTTTCTGAGCTCCAGGGACTGTAAGAGAATGAATTTGTGTTGTTCGAAGCCGCTGAGTTTGTGGTGACTTGCTACGGCGGCCACCGGAAATGGACAGAGCCCGGCAGCATTGACCTCGCCCTGCCCCCTGGCCTTGTAGCACCGTGTCCAATGCTTCTGCTCCTGCCTTATCCGTCTGGTCTCCATACTCATCCCCCAACCTGTCTGAGGGCAACTGCATAGCTGTCTCTGCTTTTCAAGGACCCCCCACCCCCCCGCCAAAGCCTCATACACTAGCTTGCACCCAGTAGGCATTTAATAAATGCTCGTCGAGTGTAAACAAATCTGTGTTTATTTCAATTAACAGCAGTTGAGGGAACAGGTTTTTGACAGCAATAACTGCTGGTTTCTCCAGCCCCGTGGTCTGAGGGCAGAACTGGACCCCAGCTGAGTGCCGGTCAGAAGTAGGGGGTAGCCAGCAGGTCTGGCTGAAGTAGAGGGGTGCTGGGCATCCCATGGGGGCAGGAAGCAGCTCTGACCATCCGGCAGCCTGAAAGAGGCCCCCTAAAAACCAAGGGGACCAGATCCCAGCATGGTGGGCAGAAGGCACCAGGAGGATTTCTCTGTGGGTCCGGGCTCTGGTCTATTCGTGGTATCCCTGTCCACGTGGGGCTACTCTGGTCTTCTGAGCTCTGCCCTCTAGAAGGCACCCAAGTTTTTATATCTTCAGCTCAGAAAAGACCCAACCCAGCTCCCAACTTTACAGCAGAACTACTGGTCCAGAGAGGGAAAGTGATTTGTCCGAAGTCACACAGCAATTGTGTGAGTCTCAAAACAAGCTGGAAGACTCCCATCCGGTGTTGCCTCCAGGAGACTGGGGATCTGGGTGCGTGAAGCTGGCCTTGCTCCGGGTGACAGGACCTCAGGACAGGCTGGCCAGGGGCCGGGAGCGGGCACAGCCTCACTTGAGGTTGTGCTGGCTCTCACGGTGCCGCCGCAGGTCCACCTTGCGCTGGAAGCCCTTGGTGCAGAGCTCGCAGCTGAAGGGCTTGAAGCCCGTGTGCTTGCGGCTGTGGGTGATGAGGTTGGAGCTCTGGCTGAAGGCCTTCCCGCACACCTGGCACTTGTGTGGCTTCTCACCTGCAGGGCAAAAGCGCCGGGTCAGGGTTGTGAGCGCCAGGCCTGCTGCCCCAACGCCCTGCATTTGATCTCCAAAATTTTATTATGCTTTATCTCGCTACCAACCCACATTCACTCTGATACCTCCCCGCCCCACACTGGATTGTACCCGGGTTAGGGCAGGGACTAGATCCATCTGGTTTATCAATCTAGCACAGCTCCTGGCCCAGAGCCTGGCACAAAAGAGGCCCTTGGTTAACAGCCGAGGAATGAATGAGTGAATAAATGGGGAAATGAATGAATGAATGAAAAATTCACCTGCTAGTGTCACTTCTACCTGGAGATCAACACTGCTGACTTTTGCTGTTTCTTTCTAGTATTTTCTCTCTGCATTAAGTGAACTTAACTAACACAGTGCCTCCAGCCCTCCTGTTGGAGGGAACCCCCTCCATGTAACTTGACCCCACCATCCTAAAGCTGGGACCTTTTAACAGTGAAAGGTGAGGGTGCCCGGGCTCTGCTTGGGCCCTGCCTGGGCCTGGACAGGCTGTGCCCGGGGACATAGGCCGGGCGGTGGAGCTGGGGCTGGCGGCCTTACCCGTGTGAATGTAGGTGTGCTTCTTCATGTCCGACTTCTGGTGGAAGCGCTTGCCGCAGAACTGGCAGGGGTAGGGCCGTGTGTCCGAGTGAATGAGCAAGTGGGTGGACAGGGTGGACGAGCGCTTGAAGGCTTTGCCACACATCTGGCACTCGAAGCTGCGCTCCTGCCGGAGGAAACGAGGCCCTGGGGGGTCAGGCGCAGGCGGGGCCTCGCGACCCAGGGCTGCCAGGCTGGGCGCAGGACTGGACCCGGCCGGAATCCCCTGAGGAACAGGACACTCTGTTGGGGTGGCCTGGAGGAGCAGGACCCAGGGCCCCCAATTCCTGCCTCCCAGGAGGCGCTGAGGCTTGAGGCCTGAGTGGCCTCCTGTGGGATTTTTCCTTATAACTTTCACAGTATCCCAAACAAAATACATGTTTGTTGACTGGTGGACCAGCTGATTTGGGAGTTTTTGCGGGGGTTCACAGTTCATGTCCCTTAACCCTGAGTGAGTTCCTTGAGGCGGGATGGTTATGGGCCGCACAGTGGTTTGGTTAAGAGTCTGAACTACTGAGCTCTGCTTCTGGCTTCTGCATCTTACTAGGCACGTGACCTCCCTGAACATTGGAACAGGAATAGCAATGACCTCAAAGGGTCGTGGGGAGGATAGGAGGCAGAGAACCGGCACATGGTTCATGCTCGCCAATGTAAGCTCTCGCCACATTTCCTGCCTTTCCCACCTGAGCTTTCATACTGACCCAGGTGTTGGCGCCTCAGGTCAGGTGCAGGCGCTTTTCTGGAACATAGTACTAAGGAAGGGGCTCCTGCCGCAGGTAGGGCTACGTGGGACGAGACGGACGTTTAAGCCTGATTTTAAGATGCCAAGAGTCGAGGGCCTCAAAGGTAAGGACACCTGTCCCGATCCCCAGGGGACGCGGGCCCATTTTTGAGCCTCACAGACACAGTGCTGCCCCCACAACCAACCTGGGCCAAGAGCCTCTTCCAATTGTGCAAGAAGCCGACTTGGTCCATCAGGGAGTGGGGGGTGTTAAGAGTGGGTATTGGAGAAAGACCACGGAGGCAGGTAATGAGGGACCCCCAATCTGTGTCACCAGCCATGGCCCTGGACCTCCTGGGAGTAGCACAGAGCAGGAGGGGGTGGGGTCCAGCTGCCCACCTGGGAGTGGATGTGTGTGTGCTGCTCCAGGCTCACCACGTGGCCGAAGGTTTTGCCGCAGACGTCACAGGCGAAGGGCCGCGTCCCGCTGTGGGAGCGGCGGGCATGCACCTCAAGCCCGTGTGGGGTGGAGAAGACCTGGGAGTGGGGGCAGAGTGTGAGGCCACGGAGGGGGCGCTGCAGAGAGGGAGCCCGGCCTGGGTCCCAAGGTGCCCCACCCCCGCCTCTGCGCCCAGCTCAGGAGGAGCACCAAATGCAGATTCTGCTGGCCCCTGCTGTGCGTCCCGGTGGGGGCGGGGGGCGGGGAGTCCCCTTCCCTTTCCCTTTCTGTGGCTGGGTTTCCTACCTAAAGTGGGGGCTGGGGGATCTGGAAAGCCCCTCCTAGCCCTCTCTAGAGGCTGAATAGCCAGCCTAGTGGTTAAGAACCAGAGTTGGCCAGAGGCAGGTTTGGACCTGGTTCTGATATCTACTCGCTGTGTGCTCTTGGGCAAGTGACTCAACTTCTCTGAACCTTAGTCCTGTGTCCAGTTCCTGGGGCTCATGCACATCAGGTGCTTAGCCACCAGGGGACCCGAGATGCACAGGGAATGCCCGGCTTTGAACACCCCCTGTGCCGCATGCTGCGGGCGGATGCACAGCAGGGTCAGGAGCCCCCGCCCGCTGCTCACCTTGTTGCACTTGACACAGTGGTACGCCTCCAGCCCCGGGGAGTAGCGGAGGCTGAAGTCCAGGGCCGGCTCGGCGCTGGGCACCAGAGGGCTGCCGTACAGGCTGACGGAGCGCTCCAGGAAGGCAGACTGCATGGTGGAGGGGGCGTGCCGGTAGCTGCGGCTGTAGGATGCGGCCAGGGCGTCCCAGGAGAAGCTGGGCTTGTAGAATGGGGGTGAATCGGAGGGTGGCGAGTCCCTGCCCTGGGCTTGGGACATCACAGCAGGACCCTCTGTGGAGAGTGGGACACATGCCTGGTGGTGACTTATTTACACACAGGGGGCCCACCCCCCGCATGTGCTGAGGGGTTCCGTATGTAAGTGCCAAGCGTCCCCCTGCCCCAGAGTGCCCGCCTGGCCCACTTCATCAGCCTGCCCAGCGGCTCCCTCACCCCCACACTGAAGCCCTCATCTGGAAATGAGCTCCCGTCCGGGAGAGATCCAAGCAGAAACCTGAGAGCCCAGCATCCAGGTGACCTCGTCAGTCCTTCCTGACTCCACGACTCCAAGGTCCCTGCTTCCAGGAGCCCCTCCACCCCCTCACACTCACTGGAGAATGGCTGGGGGTCTTGGGCCAGGTACCTGGTGCTGAGACCATCCTGGTCAAGCTCTGGTCCAGCTCCAGCTCCGACTCCGGCTCCGGCTCTGGCTCTCGCTTGAGGTTGGTCCAGTCCAGACACTGGCTCGGGAACAGGGTGCTGAGAACAGGGTCATTGCTCGGGACCTGGTCACTGGCCACTGTGGGGAGATAAGATCATCAGTGCCACCAGCTGCAGCCCTGCGAGGGATCCAAGGTGAGGACAGGGCCCTGGAGGGAGACCTGTTTGCTGCCGCCTCTGGCTGCCTACGCTCAGGGGCTCTGCCCAGATGGGAGGCCCGGAGGCCTGGAGGAGACCCCCTGCAGGACTCTTGGACCAGTCTCGGTTTTTTGGAGCACCCGACTTCAGCCCTAGATTGGACCCCATTTAGGACCCACAGGACCTCATCTGCGGCTACCGAGGGCCAGCTCCACCCTGAGCTCTCATCGCCCCAAGGGCTCAGAGAGATGGGTTCATTCATTCATTCATTCATTCAGCCAACACGGACGGGCTCCCCCTGCTCCCAGACCTGGAATGGGGGGATGAGCTGCTGCAGCCCCGTCACGTGGGGCAGGGGTCTGGGGTGCAAGGGGGCAGCCTGTGCTCTCACTCACCCGGGCTCAGGACTGGCGGCCAGACGGGCTCATGGTCCCGGACGCGGGGCTGGTGGTAATTGTGTGCCTTCTTGCTTTTCACCAGGAAGGAGCGCGGCATGGTCAGCGCCCACACCTGCAAGGGGACAGGTGGGGACGGAGAGGAGAGTGGCTCTCCTCTGCATTTTAGGGCCTCCTCCTGGCGGAACAGTGTTCCCCCAAAAGTGCATGTCCACTCGAAACCTGTGAGTGTGACCTCACTTAGAAATAGGGTCTTTGCAGATGTGATGAAGTAGAGGTCATACTGGGTTAGGGCGGACCCTAAACCCCATGTGACTAGCGTCCTTAGAAAAGGGAGATTTGGGCCTATAGACGCAGACACACGGGAGGACACCACGTGGAGGTGGCGGCAGGGATGGGAGTGATGCAGCCACGAGCCCAGAGGCGCCAGGGAGTGCTGGTGGCTGCCAGGACGTGGCAGGCAGGCGTGAACCACACTCCCTCCGGCCCGCAGAGGGAGCCGGCCTCGTGACGCCTTGATTTGGGGTTTATAGACATCAGAACCCTGAGAGAATGCATTTCTGTTGTTTCGAGTCTCCTGATTTGTGACACTTGGTTATGGCAACTATCAATCTTAACCCCCCCACACCACTCCTTGCTAGGAAACGGACACACAGACCTAGAGACAACCCAGGCCGAGCCTGCTGTGGCTGCACCCCCCC